CTTGACATGGTCGTTCGCGCTTTGCCTTGTATTACACCTCAAATTGTACATTTATTTAATCATTGCCTACTCCACGGTGTTTTTCCATCGCTCTGGAGATCGGCTATAGTGTGCCCGATTCCTAAGATTAAGTGCCCCTCTGAACTCAAGCATTACAGGCCGATATCTTTATTGTGTGTACTTTCTAAGGTCCTTGAGAGTCTTGTAGCTAGGCAGATTACAGAATATGTCGAGACTAACAATCTTCTTGATCCCTTCCAGAACGCTTATAGGAAGAATTACTCTACTCAGACTGCCCTTATCAGAGTAATTGATGATATGAGGTATGCTGCTGATCAGAGAGAAATAACTATAACTGTATTTTTTGACTTTTCAAGGGCCTTTGACTGTGTTAACCATCAGATTCTAGTCAACAAACTTAAAAATCTTAATTTTTCTTGTTCTGCTCTTAAATGGCTATGCTCCTACCTCTTTGGTAGAACACAGGTGGTGAGAGATCCTACAGGAAGTGAATATTCAAAGGATCTGCCTGTTCGGTGTGGTGTTCCTCAGGGTTCTGTTCTTGGTCCCTTACTGTACACATTATATGTTTCTGATTTTGGTAAAAATCTACAATTTTGCAAATATAATTACTACGCGGATGATTTGCTTATTTACATTCACACTAAACCAACTCTCTTTCATGAAGCTATTACCAAAGTCAACCTTGACATTTGTAATGTAATTGAGTGGGCAACTAGTAATAAACTTGCTTTAAATGCAAGTAAAACTTNGGCTATGATTTCTGGCACTAGAAGGTACATTAGCAACTTTGTTCATGATGGCTTGCCTCGGGTCGTCGTTGATGGGGTGGAGATTCCTTATAGAGATTCTGTTGTTTATCTAGGTGTCACTATTACTAGTNCACTATCGTGGGAACATCATGTCATTCGAACAGTGTCGCGGGTAAACTCTTCCCTACATCAACTCAAGACATTTAAGCGCTTGCTATCGACGGAGCTACGAACCAAGCTCGTATCCTCTTTGCTCATTCCTCATTTTGATTATTGTTGCACTTTGCTTACTGATATCACAGGTGAATGTAACCTTCGCTTGCAACGCTCTTTGAATACGTGCATAAGGTTCATTTTTGATGTGAAATGGTTTGAACACGTATCACCTTATTACGAGAATTTGCAATGGCTAAAGATCGCACCTAGAAGATCTTTCTTTCTCGAATGCCTTGTGTATAAATTATTGGAAACCCGTCGTCCGCGGGTATTGTATGACTCTTTNGTTTTTCGGCGGAACGATTTATCCCATAATACTAGAGCAGACAGAGGGGCACTCGTTCTTCCTCTGTCTCGAACAGAACTTTTCAGGCGATCGTTTAGATNTGTCTCGGTGGATATTTGGAACTCGATTCCTGCCGAGATGCGAAATGAGTCCTTCAATATCTTTCGAATAAGGTGGTACAATTATCTGCTTACTAATCAATCTTGATTTTACCTGATGGTTTTATTAGTTTAATATTTTTCTTATGTGTTGTTTCTGCGTTCTTATATATTTTATTGTTATATATATTTTATTGTTATTATTTTTCTTTTACTTATATTTTGCGTTCTTATATATTTCTGCGTTCTTATATATTTTATTGTTATATATATTTTATTGTTATTATTTTTCTTTTACTTATATTTTGTATTTATATTATTTAGAATTAATATTTTTGTATTTAGATTTTTCTTTTCTCTATTTATGTTATTTTCTTTATTTTTAAATATTTTTATCTAATACTCATTTATATTGCTTTTGTACTTATATAGAATATTATCTGCGTTTATTATTGCTTATGTATTGATAGCGCTTGAGGGGAATTTGTCCCAGAGCGCTTTACAAATAAAGCGACAATCAATCAATCAATCCACTCTGGAAATAAATGGCAAAACAGCCGCCAAGCGGCTCGCACTGCATAAAAATGACCATCAAGACGCAGTTAAATATTATACGAGAAGCTGAAAATACTAAAAACAATAAATTAACATACATCGTAATATATCAAATATTCGCCATGTATAACACATAGGCGCCACGCGCCTTCGCAAAATTAGGCGCGTTTGCTTGCGCTACGCGGCCTAACGAGCTGCTCTCATCTTACATCATGGAAGACGCGAGCTCACCGCCTCCTGTGTCGGCCGGAAATGCATTCTTGTGATGGACACAAAAAGTGTCACATCACAATATATATATATATATATGATATGTCACAAATTTTCGAGAACAAAATATTGTACACGCGATCATTTGTTTGATACATTTTATAAGTGATTATAATATTGTTTTGTATTATAATATTATAATTACTTCTAAAATGTATTAAACAAATGATCGCGTGTACAATATTTTGTTCTCGAAAATTTGTGACATCATGTACAGTCGACGTCAATGAATCGTTTCGTGGACGCGGGGAGCTAGGGGTAAGAGGGACGGTATTCTCTAGCAGTAAATACTGTAATTGGTCAATTCATCGAAATCTGCTACAGTTAGTTAGTGCGGCGCCCATTGGCAGTACTTACTCCTAGGGAATACCGTCTCTCTTACCCCTAGCTCCCGGGGCTACGAAACGATTCATTGACGCCGACTGTACATATATATATATATATATATATATATATGTATAGATATATTGTTTATATGTTCTAAATATTGTAGCGTTTATATAAATATATATATATATACATTTATAATATTTGCATTGTTTATTTCTTTTATTCCACATACACAAAAATAAAACAAGTGTGAATATTTATGTATATTTTAAATATTTTCCGCTGTTATACTATACAAAACGTGTTTGTGTGTGTAAACAGGAGGAAGAAGTAGAAGCAGCAAACCTAAAAAAAAAATCTAAAATTAGCAGGGTGCGAACACGCGGAGTACTAGCGCGGTGCCTTGTCCACAACGCCACGCCGCCACTTCGGTAAACTTCTTTTTGGAACTCTACTTATGGTATGTGCTAAATTTCAAACCGCGATTTCTCTTAAACGCTTGAGAAGTGCGTCGTCTTCGAATAGCATTTGTTGCTTCTTCATCCATACTACATTCCTACGAAGTTTCGTCAAAATCGATGACCCGAAGGGTGTATATATACTCCCCTTGTAAGGGTAAGAGTAGTTTAGTAACATCCATAAAATTATAACTGCTAATTTCAAATATGTTTTATAAACACTACTTAAATATTATAGTTACTGTTATAATATACATTAATGTTTATACAATTTCAATCAATATAGTTATAATTGTAGATGTTATTAAACTAGATTAGTAATAGCATGTAAATGTAATCCATTAAATAAAAAACATATATTTCGCATTATTTTATACATATTACATTTTAATATTGCCATGATATTATAGTGCAATCTTTCTGAGAGCGGACATTTTACCGTTGCTGCAGTGTCATAATAATGTTACAGTCATATTTCGCAACGTACTTGCATATTACAATCTTGCAATGAAATATTCCTGCAATGTTCTTTGTGTGCTGTATCTTTCTGTGCTGTATGGGTTTTTATCATTTTGCAAAATTTGCAGTATTTATTAAATTATTAATTAATTTATTCATGTAAGCCAATAAATACGTAGGAAGCGATGGTTCGGAGTGTATAGGCATGCACAATTATCAGTTGTAAAGAAAACTAGCTTATCTCCCGCAATCTAACAACGAGAAGCGGAGCAATAAGCAAACGGCGCGTGATAGTTTCTCGCAATCAGCTGATTTTCATAACTAAAAATCATACACGTTGACAAAATACGGATCATCACTTCCCACGCGCTCATTGATTTATATTTGCTGATTAATAACTCAATAAATATTATAAATTTTGCAAAATGATAAAGTAACTTTTCTGTTTAGATTAACCCAATTTTCATAATTTGGCTATGTCAAAATTATTCAGACATTCTGTAAATAAGTATTTAATTACGATATAAAACAGCACATAAAAACGGTATTCTTACTTCGTTGATCAAACATTCTCCAAGAAAGCAATAGCAGAATGCCAGTAGCACTACTGCTACCGAATATATTATAAAATGAATAATTTCGTTTACTTCTTTTCCGCTTTCGGCTGTCTGAAATATTATTTGCTGTAAGTTATGAAGATCTGCTGGAAAGAAGAAATATCAAAATTCCAACATAATTATTTTGTCGGTTTCAACAATTACAATGTTTTGCGTTATAAATATATTTATTTATACCTATACAAATTAGTTATATATATATATGTTATAATCAAAGCCCAAAGCACGGACAATCCTAGAATTGACTGGTCAATGCGCAACAAAAACTAAGCGTTTTGGTCAAAGTCTAAAATAATTTTGTTTTTCGGCTTTTGACTGTTGTGTTTTTAGTCAATCGTAGGAGTAACTAATACGGCTGATTAAGGTTACAATCTAAACAAATCATTTCGAACTTTGACTAATCAATTCTAGGTGTGATTAAAATGATTGTTATGTGGTCAAAGCCCGAAGCACGAGCGTTTCTAGGATTGACTGGTCAATATGAAGAATAACCAAGCATTTTGATCAAAGTCTGAAATAGTTTTGTTTTGGCTTTGACTGGAGTGTTTTTAAGCAATTCTAGGAATGACTAACAGGATGAGTCTTAGATGCGTACAAAATAAATCGGACACGGTAGGATGTGTCAATCGGACATCAGACTCACTCGGATACACTAGTATTAAAACAAGACTATTTCTTTTATGTTCTTTTTGTTCGTGTTGTAAGCGTGTAGGCAGGGAGGTTAAGCTCCCTTGCCCTCCAAAAGCCTAACTTAACTAACTATCTATAAAACTAACTATCTATATAACTAACCGTCGGTTGCAAGGTTAAGTTTGTTTGAGGAGGGCGCAGTTTCCTGCCTACACGCTTACAACACAAACATAAATAAATAGTCTTGTTTTAATAGTTGTATTATTAAGTCTGTGTCCGATTGACACATTCTACTGTGTCCGATTTATTTTGTGCGCATCTAAGACTCATCCTGTTAGTCATTCCTAGAATTGTTTAAAAACACTCCAGTCAAAGCTAAAACAAAACTATTTCAGACTTTGATCAAAACGCTTGGTTGTTCCTCATATTGATCAGTTAATCCTAAAAACGTTCGTGCTTCGAGCTTTGACCACAATCATTTTAATCACACCTAGAACTGACTACTCAAAGTTTGAAGTGATTTGTTTAAATTTTAACTTTAAACAGCCGTATTAGTTACTCCTACGATTGACTAAAAACATAACAGTCGAAAGCCGAAAAACAAAATTATTTCAGACTTTGACCAAAATGCTTGGTTTTTGCTGCGAATTGACTAGTCAATTCTAGGAGTACCCGCGTTTCAAGTTTTGACTATAACATACATACATACAGAGTGTTTGGTAACTAATATATGCTATTTATTTTAGTTCCTCTCATTCCGTTACTACGGCGTACGCGCAAAAACATGACAGCTTCGAGCTATCATTTTGCACGTGCCTGCACGCTCATTCGTGGGTCTTTATGTATTAAAATCTCGTTAAATATTGCGAATCTCGCAAAATGGTAAAAGACTTTTCAACTTAGAATAATTCAATTTACCTGCCTATGAGCGGTGTTACAGCAATTACCAAACACTCTGTATACAGGGTGTCCCATAATTACCGTCTAACCGCTCGTAGGCAACAAGAAGGGGTTATTCTAAGACAAGAAGTCCTATACCATTTTGGAAAATTTGCAATAATTAACGAGATATGAATTAATAAAGATCCGCTAATCAGCGTGCATCCAGCGTAATGGGAGCATAAGAACAGCCTAGTCTTTCTCGCGGATAGCGCGATCCCCGAACGCAGCGTATATGCTGTTTATGTATAGGTGCACATATTATTCTATTAGCTCTTCCTATTCCGCCGCAACGGCGCGTCTGCGCGAAAGACTAGGCTGTCTTTACGCTTCCCTTACGCTGGATGCACGCTGATTAGCGGATCTTCATTAATTCATATCTCGTTAAATTATTGCGAATCTTCCAAAGTGGTATAGGACTTTTCGTCTTAGAATAACCCCTTCTTATTGCCTACGAGCGGTTAGACGGTAATTATAAGACACCCTGTGTGTATATATATATATATATATATATATATATATACAGGGTGTCCCAAAATTGGTGTAACATCTCTCGTGAACAAATAGAAGGAGTAAAACTGAGTCAAAAAGTTTTATACCATTTTGCTAGATTCGCACTAGTTACCGAAATCTTAATTAACAAAGATCCGCGAATAAGCGTGCATCGGGCTGTCTTACGCGAGTAGGACAGCTCGGCGCGCTTCGCACAATTACATTTTAATATGTATATGTTATAGTATATGCTGTTATATTAGCTCCTCCCATATGCTGCTACGGGTAACACCGTAAGCGCGCGAAGCGCACTGGGCTGTCTTAAGCGCGTAAGACAGCCCGATGCATGCTTATTCGCTGATTTTTGTTAATTAGGATCTCGGTAACTATTGCGAATCTAGCAAAATGGTATAAAACTTTTTGACTCAGTTTTACTCCTTCTATTTGTTCACGAGAGATGTTACATCAATTCTGAGACACCCTGTATATATATATATATATATACAGGGTGTCTGTATACATATATATATATAATTTTATATACACATTGTGTTTAAGAGGATGCTGAAGTAACGGCTCCGATTTAGCTACTGTTCAGCCGCTACGCTGTTTAGTAAATAACGCTCTCTAGTCGAACCGAGACAAGGATAGACGTATGTCTCGTCGGCGCTTCTGCTAAAATTGCGCCAATCTTATTTTGCAACGATTTTCTTACAACCCGGAAAAAATAGATTGGACCTAATGTTACGTCCTGGACTTCACGGTCCCTTTCATTTTGCAACGTATTATAATTAAGTACGTACAACGTATTATTATTAAGTCTAGCAGTAGGTTGAAAGAATAATTTTAGTAACGAATTCCTGGAAAGAGAAACGAGACTGAGATAAAATAGACAGATCCGAATCGGACATATTATAAACATATTATAAACAAACTTAGCCGGCTGACATATTAGAAACAAATCTAGCTGGTATTGATAAGTAAGGGTTATTGCCCCTCAGAAGGAAATATGATAAACAAAAACTCTCTCTACGCGAGCTACGCGCTCGGAAATTTGGGCATGTCATAGAGACTCTCGCGGCTCTCGCGGCTCTAGAAAGGAAGTCGTAAAATCAAGAGGCTAGAGCTACGGCACGCAGATATAAACGAGATAAGGCACGTACCGATAAGCGAGATCTAAACAAAACAACCCTACCGATCCAAAAAATTGAACAAAAGAGAAAAGGGTCTTTGCCCTGGAGGTCAACGAACGAGAAGCCGAAATTTTGAGAAAGAACGATAGGGAAGGGGAAATTAGCCCGCATCTATAAAAGCCATAGATTTTCGATCCACGCGTCAGATCCGTAATACAGTCAATACAGTCAGATCATTAGTCAGTACGCAGTTTTCCAAACACAGTTCAATCTTCAGTTCCATCTTCAGTAGTCAATTCCCAGCAAACACAAATACTATATATAACAGCAACATTGTCGTATTAAAACAGAATGTGACAAGTAATATAACATAGTCGTTGCATGTAACATCCATGTTAGTTGTAATTTCCTACTCATTGTACAGTCAAGGTTACTGATTCGTTTCATGGACGCGGGGGGCTAGGGGTAAGAGGGATGGTATTCTCTAGCAGTAAGTAGCGCCAACAGGCGTCGATAATGTCAATGCTTTCGTTGACTAATTGTGTCTCAAAACAAAACTATTGGCCATTTAATAACCAATGTTTCACAAATACATATATATGGCCAATAGTTTTACGTTTTGAGACACAATTAGTCAAGAAAAGCATTGACATTATTGACACGGCGCCCGTTGATACTACTTACTGCTAGGGAATACTGTCTCTTTTACCCCTACCCCACCGTGTTCACGAAACGAATCAGTGACTCCGACTGTACATTGCAGTTATATAATATAACATGTAAGTGGAATGTTATATAATTGTTATATAGTTATAGAAATGTTATATGACAGTTATATAAATCGCTGAAATGTTACGTAACTGCAATATTCGTTGTTTTCTTGTTATAACCGTTATTAAAATAATTATATTACAGTTATATAGGATATTATATTATATATACTATATATATTTAAGCACTTAGAATTTTCAAAAATATTAAGTCTTTGAATTAATTTTAAATAAAACTAAACAAAATATTTTAAACTAAGAAATATAAATACGGTCATAAGAGCCGTTAGCAGAATGTTGTGCGAAAATATGCGTGTATATATAAATGTGTACATATATATATACGTGTTCATATGTAAATTTTACATGTGAGTTTTTGAATTGAAATTTTAATTCTTAAAATCACATAGGACGCTAGATTTGCATCATATATATGAGAGACCCCGTATACCCCTCTAACTAATTTTAAAATATTGCGAAAAAAAACTCCTTAGCCAGAAGTCAAACCTGGAATCTCCGGTTTTCCGGGCCGTCGCCTTTCTTATTCGGCCACCGAGGCAATTGGAGTTTGTTTCCCAATATTCGTACATATATCGAAAATGGTCTTATAATTTAATAACGCCCTTCTTCCAAAAGCATGGTTTTAACAAAGAATCTTTCAGGCTCTGAAGTTTCTAAACTGAGAAATACGGTCATAAGAGCCGTTCGCAGGATGTTATACGGAAATACGGAGATTCCAAATTTGACTCCTGGCTGAGAAGTTTTTTTTGCAATATTTTAAAATTAGTTAGGGGGATATACAGGGTCTCTCATATATGTGATGCAAATCTAGCATCCTATATGATTTTAAGAATTGAATTTTAATTCAAAAACTCACGTGTAAAATTTACATGTGAACACATATGTACAGGGTGTCCCAGAATTGTCGTACAATCGCTCGTAGGCAGATAGAAGGAGTAAAACTGAGTCGAAAAGTCCTGAACCATTTTTTTCTATTATTTATAATAAAGGAGTAATTGTTGAGTAAATCAGGCCAATCAGCGCAGATCTTTAGCCAGACGCACGTCAGTGAGCCGCGCGCCTGGTG